GCAATATTCAGTGGTGATTGGTCCATTCATGGATGTTTTGTGATTTTGGCATCCAATATGGATGCCAAAAATTAGCTCCCAGTGACCCCACCCACCATGGGGCCCAACAACATGCAGGAGCTGTCATATAGGAGATTCTCAGACTGTCACATCAGAGTTTCCCAGAAACTATACCCTCACAATGCAGTCAAGAAGAACATATCTTGTCTGATATGACAAGGCTATCAAGCAGGGACAAGTCCACGAAATCTACATTGCTCAGTTTACTCGGAGCTGAGGTTCAAAGGACTCAATGACCAGCCAATTGACTCAAATGAAGCCTGATTTGAGCCTCCCATTTATCCAAAGCAGGGACCAAAGCAGTGTGTTGCGGGACATTATGTTACCCCTCAACTAACAGGATTCTCCTTTCTGGCATACATGAGAAACACATGGGTGAGCGTTTAGATCCCAGAGATGATAAACAGTTACTAAACCATCTCTGAGAGGTCCCATCATCACAGACAGAAACCTACTTCGAGGGGTTGTCGTCAGTAAGAAGACTGCTATTTTCTGCCTTAATAGTTTTTATATGGTATGTGTCTTTGCTATTTCTATTCCTTTGTTTTATTATTATAAAGATTTTCTTGTTCATCTTCTGTTTCCACTCTCTCATAAAACACTAAATATGATTTAGCCTTTACCTTGCTATTGTCTTCCTGGACTTCTTTTTGGCTTCCTGTGATCTTTTCTAGTCTCTTCATCACCATTCTCATCCCATCTTCCCTGATTCTTCTTTACTCTAATGTGCCTCTGGACTTCATCATTCCACCACTCATCTTTGATTTAGATTTACCAATTGTTATATCAAGGATCTCATCATCCAAATTACTTATTTTATTTGCCAGCCTGCTCCATGCTGTTGGAAACATCTTTAAAATTAATTTCTCTGAGGTGTCTCCCCAATATGAACTACTCTCTACAAGCAGATTCTAACTTCCACCATCTAGTCTTTGGAAGTCCACTCATCTCTTCTGCTCTCTCTGCATTTGATTCATAATACATTTTACTGACTTATTCTATGAATAAAACACACCTTTAATAATCCAGCTAATAAAAATTAATAAAGTAAAAACGTTTTCGATCGTTTCTTAACAATCTTCTTCAGTTACCATAACATACAATAAAATCAAACACAAATACGAACTTAAAAATATAAATAACAGAAAAGTAGCTGTGGTGATAAAATAAATGAAAAATATAAGTTAAACTGAAAAATGTCCCTTAACAAAAATAAATAAAGTCATTAATTCTTGTAAAAGGATTGCCATGCAGTAGGTAGAGTCTGCATTCCTATGGTTGATGCAACCAGTTTTTCTGTGTGCCTTAAAAATCTCTAATTTCTCCAGATATCGCAGAAAGGAGTCAGACATGCTTGACAGTTTTTTTTTTTTCAACAACAACATGAATGGTTCTACTTTCTGCACTAAATAATAATTTGGAACATTCTGACTAAATTCCTCGTCTCTATTCAATAAATGTAATAAAGTATTTTATTATCTCACAGAAACAATCACGTGTCATTATTCTTTTTATCATATTATTTCCAAGTCCAGGATGACTAGACCAATACATATACATAACAGGTAACTTATTTATCTCCATTAGAAATATAATTGAAATAAATGCCCATATTTCAGATATACCTGCAATAAGTATTCACAATTTATCAGAATATCCTGACGTATTCTGCATATTTGTATTTTCCTTTATAATCTCTAACCTTTCATCAGTGATGAATAATTTAAAATATGAAGAACATAGTGAGCCCAGAGAAAGATTGTGATTTGGACCAGAATTAACTCAAAATTTATGTATAAAAAACTTGAAATTGTCTACATGTGTTGTCCAAGACAGTTTAGTGATGTCGACCAATGTACAATCTGATTCAGATTGCGAATCTGGATCATCTTCATCAGATGTACTTGATTCTATTATATCTTCACCTTCATTTTCAAATAATAAATCACTTTTGCTATCATTTACATCGTCAATATCCATATCACTTTCATATATAAATTTTTCAATAACTTCATCATTTTCATATATTTGATGATTCATGTTGGAATTATTATTAAATATTGGGTTGTTCAGAAAGTAATTTCATTTTTTTTACCACTAGACAGATTAGTCGTTAGACATTATATATTTTGACAGCTAGCATTTTAAGGCTTATTTGTAAAATATTTTGTTTGATTTTGTGCAATTGTTTATTTTTTGTGTCCCATCAAATATGGAAGATCGAAAGCAGCATTTTCGGCATATTTTGCTCTCTTATTACCAAAAAAGGTAAGAATGCTGTTCAAGCGAGAAAAAAAATTGTGTGACATGTATGGAGAAGATGTATTGACAGAACGACAGTGCCAAAACTCGTTTACAAAATTTCATTCTGGCAAATTCAATATTGAAGATGCACCACGTTCTGTTCTGGATGGCCAGTTGAAGCCAATGAAAACAAAATAAAAAGGTACTGATTGAAGCAAACTGCCGAACAACAACACGGGAAATCACTAAGATTAAATTTGTCAAATTGAACCATTTATGATTACTTAAAACAAATTCGTTTCGTTTCAAAGCTCGATATATGGGTTCCACAGGTTCTTAAAGAGAGATGCTCTCTGGTGGAATTTTAAGGAAATTTTTTTTGGAACTTTTACCAGACAATTTAACAATTGATTCGAAAGTGTACTGCCATCGAGTAAACAAACTGAGTAATATCATCAAACAGAAAAGGCGGCCAAAATTTATCAACAAAACAGGTGTAGTGTTTTACCACAATAATGTCAAATTTCACACAAGTTTGGTAACTGGTCAGAAACTGTTATAACTTAGATGGGACATGCTATCATACCAACCATATTCGCCAGATCGAGCGCACTCAGTTTATTACTTCTTCTGGTCTATACGAATTTTTTTTAACTGTACGACATTTACTTGAAATGACAATGTCAAAATCACTTCGATCAGTTTTTTGTAAGCAACGATCAAAACTTTTATGAATATGAAATCATGCTACTACCAGAAACAATGACAACAGGTATTTGACCAAAATAGTCGATATACAATTCAATAAAATATTTATTTATTATAAAAATATTGTGTTTTTTTCACAGAAAAAAATGAAATTACTTTCTGAACAACCCACTATATAATATAATAACAAAAAGTAAAAGCACAGAGAATCACCACACAACAGAATATCCAGCTCACTAAGAAACAAAGACAGTTGAACATGACACCTGATACTCTCTAAAGTCAATAAAATTGTAAATAAATTCTTGACATTGAGTAAATAAATGGTATAGTTTGCTATTTCTAAAAGACAAATTACTAAAATATAATTTATTTCATATATAAAGCACAGAATAAGCATTTCTCACTATATACAGAAAATAACATTTAAAATCATATTAATTTTTAAAAAATTGACAAAAATAGCAATAAAATATCACAAAACTTCATTAATGGCAAACCCCCCAAAAAATATATTTGAACTGTTCCACAACTGGGAAGAAACTACATCATATATCCCCACTAAGTATATCCTTAGGGTAAGAACTATTCCATCTACAAATACATAGTAAAAACAAAAATTTTAGTGCTTAAAAGAGTTAATAGGTTAAGGAACAGAGCACAACAAATTCAAACATATTTAGGGCATATAGATATGTTAAACATTCTAAAAATACATCAAATTCCATAGCATTTCAGAAATAATAATAATAATAAAGTGTCAACGAATCTATATAAAAAACAAAATAAATTATATAATATGAGGTCTGTTCAGAAAAACCAACCACTGTTAATATAATAAGAATAGTTTTCCCAACAGCAATGTAACCTGGCAGCTAAGGAGTGGACTGACTGACAGTGCAAAAACTAGAAGGTGATCTGGAGATCCTAATGTTTATTCAAGAAGATAAAGAGAGACATTTATTGTTTCTTCTTTCATATTATATGACTGGATACTTTCCTGACAGACCACATATATAATAAAAATAATGAATTAGCATTGACTGGAAATAACTGTTCAATGTTTCATTGACACAGTGAGTCATGAAGGATCTAATAATAAAAGATGGTCTTAAAAAATATTATCTAATATAATAAATGACTTCTTAAACTAACATTTCAGTTTATTTGATTCTGTTTAAATAAATTATGTCAATTATAACAATTTTTGCTCTTTTCATAATTATTTAGTATGCCTTTACAACCATTAATAGTAATTATGGAAAAATCAAAGATACATTTTACACGGGTAAATTAAATCCAAGAAAACATGTAAAAAAAATAATAAAAAAACATGTTAAATTTGCTGACAAAATTTTACAAATACAGGTATACCTCGCCTTACGTCGTTAATTGGTTCCAGGAAAACGACGTAAGTCGAATTTACTTGTCTCCGAATCTACTTGTCACTAGGCTAAACCATTAATTATTATTCCCTGTTCTGTATTTTATTTATTAATGCATTTTTAATAATATATGGTTAATAAAAATCTATTTTAAGCTTACAAACAAATAAATTTTAGTTTTTAATATAGTACAGAAAAAAGTATTCTAAATTTACGAATGCGTGTACTGTAAATACAGAACATATACTCGTATATATTTTAATATGATTTTATGTGCTTTAAACGTTTTTCTAGTGATATTACGACTTCAATATTTGTGGCGGACTAACGTAAAGTCGAATAAAATGACTTAAACTCGATTTTTATTTTTCCATATACTTTTTTGACAAACGACGTATAATCGGGAACGACGTAACTCGAAACGACGTAAGTCGAGGTATGCCTGTAATTATGTGAAAGTTACAAATACACAGACACTTAAAAATTTTATTACGTTTTAGTGACAGCTAGTTGTTCACAAGTTTATGTTTATAGATTATTTTCATTTTAACTTTTAAGATATGGTAATTTATTTAGAATTGATGGATTAGCCAATTTCTTTACCTTTCACCCTGTACTCCTGTGGACCCATGCTCAGCTCGCATTCTTGTGAGGGCAGCAGCAGCTTCATCTAAAGCACAACTGACTGATGACGTTAGCCTACGAAGTACTTCAGGATCAGCAAATTGTTTCCCGTCTGAAAGTGAGAGTTTTCCAATACCTGAAAAGTAATTGAAATATAGCATAAATAATTAAGAGAGAGAAAAAAAAAATGAATTACTAAAGAATTGCAGAATAAAACAGTAAAAGATACTTTAGATTTGTTGTTAACCTCTCAAATAATGAAAATTTAAAAACAGAAAAAAGGATTTGACTTTATGGAATCATAAATGAAACACTTCATCCTTCACGAAAGCGATGAGCACAAAAATACCTTAGTAAGCAAGTTAATGTAAAAATTCAACTTCATGCATTTTGCATGAATGCATTTGATTCCTATCAAGAATGTTTCAAGGCCATTAACTAATTAAGTTGAACAAAAATTCACTACCTTTATATTCACCCAGCTGATTTTTCTGAAAAAATCAGCTGGGTGAATATAAAGGTAGTGAATTTTTGTACAATATAATATAGCCCAGTTTCTGGAGAAGATTTATTTTGTTTTATTTTAAGTTGAAATAAATCATTATAATTATATAAACTTTGGCAATTTTAATCAATTTAATAATATGTATTTTTAAATTAAAAACATTCTTCAAAATAATATAATATTTAACATAGCTGACAATGTATTCTGTTCATAACAACTTTGTTTGAATGCTCAGTTAAAAATAAAAAAACAAATATTTTAAATTTAAAAATCTAACTTAAAATGCTTAAAATAAAAATATAAGATGATCAGGAATTGAAAAATTGATAAAGCTGTTGATTTTAAAATGAATAAGATAGAAAATACTTAGTAATATCTAAAACTAGGAAAAAGAAACGAGCTCCGAGGCATAGACTTCTTTGTTTCAACTTGACACAAAAAACACAAATGTGATAATACACTTCTAACATTCTGTCTAAAGTAGTTTAAAACCTGCAGGTACAAAAGACATACATATTCATCATTATAATCAACAAAAACATCAACAAACATTTAAAACACTCATATATGCAGCCAGCAACTACCAACTCCAGTAAGCAGTTAAAATACATTTATGTATAGCCACAGAATGCACATGTTTAAGTTTTGAGAAATTAATTTTGTCACATCATCATGCATATTAAATACCCATCATAAAGATCAAAATAAAAAGTTGTCAGAGATCAATGTAAATCAATAGCAGATATAAACTCAATCGACATGTAACACAGATGAGCTTACAACCAACAACTTGCCCATAGACTTTACACGGCAAAATACGACCTGGAATATCTCAGCCAATAGATCAAATTTCTGGCTTCATCATGACATCATCCTTGCCTACTTGCACACAATTGCAAAAAATCATGTTTAATGGTCATGCAATTGCTTTGAACTTTGATCACATATAAAACACTGACTTATGAACACCTCCATTTATGCTCTGTTTGATAAATTTTTATGGAAATTTTATAAATGAACAAGAATACTCATGAAGAATACCTAGAGAACTGAAAAATTGAAGTAATCGAGAAAATTTTCTATTTGAAATCTCTTATCAGTAACAGAAATACATACATTTACAATCTATCAAAAAATTATGAATTTTCTATACAATTGAAATCTTTATTTTGAAATACAAAGACAGAAGACATTTCTAAACATTTCTAAAGTCATTCAATTAAAAAACCAAACATTTAAATTTTGAAAACACAAACTCATTTTTTTTTAAATTAATATCAAAATCAACTTTTTCAACATAAAATAAATGAATAACCCTGATAATTACATTTTTAAATGTGGATAACAACTTTTGCTCTTTTCTACATAAAAATAGGCATAGACTAAACAGCTTTCAAATATTTATGATGTTTCTTCCTTATGATGTATTTTTTAGACTTAATAGTCTGAATTAGAAATTTCTTTTCACATTTATCATAGATCTAATTATTTGCTGTTGGACAGACTAGATATTAATATTACTAAATCTGGGTAAATATAATTTCACAGAAAATGTAGAATAATTATGATCAGTTATTATCTGCAATAAAATATAAGTGAAAAAAAATGAATATTACATCAAGAAATTGAATATTTTGGCATATATAGTATTTATCACTTTACAACAAATGCAAAATGTTTGTGTAAAGTGATAATTAATGTAATAACTGACAATTAAGTAAATTCCTTGATGTGCAGTTATACCTTTTGAGTTTCATATTGTAATATTGCACACTCATTAGGTGCTATGTCACTTGTTCTCATATTATACAAATTAATATTTAGACACCATGTTTACTTTTCAAAAAAGTATTTAACAATTGGACTTCATATGTAATAACGTAAGAAGTTTCAAAAGTTTATCATGAGCAGGGCTGTGGAATCAGAGTTTTGTTGTTTTAGTCAAAGCCATTAAAAATCCACTGACAGACTGAGTGTGTGTGGAGGAACGAATTTAGTTCAACCACTTTGAACCTTAACTCCTGTGAATTGGAATTGGATGGTTTAACACAGAAGTTATTAAGCTTCAAACAGAGTGAACAAAATTGTGCTCCCCATACACATTCTAACATCCATACACACAGAAAACATTTCTCAAATATCTCAACATTTCAAGGTGTCCTGAATCCAAACATGTAAAAATTTGGGGGGATCATTTTTTCACAGATTGCTACACTTTCCCTCTATTATATACAATAGCCGAAAAAGTAAAAATTATCAAATACATATTTATATATTGACTGTCATTATCAAAACATCCTTACTACACCTGATATGTTTAAAGCTATACATCAACCAAAGCTGAATATTATCAAGCTAGAAACAGCTATAATACTAATAATTTAATAGACAAAATGTGTAACTCTAATGCCAAATTGTCTATTAAATTATTAGTATTATAGCCATTTCTAGCCTGATAATATTCAGCTTTGGTTGATGTATGACTATCTCATTACTTAGAATGTAGAAAACTTTTTATTCCAAAGCTAAAAGACTCCTCTATCTTTATTAGAACAATATTTATTGAAGCTTTTATTCTGAGATCACATAATGAAATCAGAAATCTTGGGCCTATTTTGGTAACAAGTCCATCCCTGGTCAGTCTGAAAATTTTTAAATAACTCCACAGCCCTAATCACGAGGTTAAATAAAATGACAATTTCAAGTTTTTTACTTATTTTCATGAGAGTTAACTGTTAAAAAAAATGTAAAAAAGTATCAGCATAGTTACAATCACCACCAAAGAAAAACTTTCATTACAGGTACAATTTCCTACTCAGTGTTCAAAAAGAACTAATCCATAAGCTTCATCTAAACACTTACATTATAAATGTCCACAAACTGAAAGCTCAAGATACAGCAAAATGATTAGAGAGCTACAAATGGTTTTGACAGTTAAAGAACAAGAAATAAATAAATCCTGTGTAAGTACTTGAAATTTTCTGTTACTCAAACAACAACAACAACTCATTTAAAATACTTTGAGTTGTTGATTTGATAAACTTAAAATCTCAAAATTTTTGAATTTTTCCAGTTTTAAATTCTTTTGAGTATATAATTATGCTGCATGTGAGAACTTTTGACACCAAAAGACAAATGTTCAGTGAAAATGCAAATTGCATGCGCAAGGTATATGTTAACCTGCATTGCAGATAAAAGTAAAATTCTTTTTTAGGGTCCATTTACACACAACAGTGATGTGCCGGCACAGTGACCGTTTGGTGACAGTGACATAGAGCACAGCACAGTGACGAGTATTTACACACAACAGTGATGTGACCTTGCTGTCAGTGAGTGATCATGGACTTTTCTGAGAATGAATTGGCTATGATAGCTATATGTTTATATGAAGAAGAAATAATGCAATCAAGAAAGCACCGCAAGTGGGTGCATCAAGCATGGACAAAAAATATCAACAGAATGGGAGTTTCATACTCTCTATAAAAAAATTGAGATGATGAATCTATATTTTTTTGAATATTTTCAAATGTCCCAACATGCATTTTATATTTTATTAAACAAAACAGAAAATATTCATTTTGTACCCAATGTCCATGTATTTCAAATGAGATAAATCAAATAAAACAGGGTGTTGATGCACCATTTCAATTAAATGTTCGTCATCCATTGAAAAACAAAATTTACCGTCAGTGAAAATATTGTTCCTGCCAAATGTACTTTCACGGTATGGTCATGCCACTACCACTGTACAGCACTGTGACGAATGAGTCTGGACAGGGTGGTTTAAAACTAGGTCAATGATTTCCCCACAGGCAAAAATTCACTGCACTGTGCCAGCACGTCACTGTTGCGTGTAAATGAACCTTTAACACTGCTCTAACACAGAACTTTTAACGCCACAGGCATTTGTTTGTATTGAAAACTAACCTACTTTAACTACACAATAGAGGGGCGTAAATTATCACACCAGACCATGCTATTTTTTATGGGCAAAATAGCACAAAAATTATGATCATTTAATGTTATTTTGTGTTCATTGTTGAAAAATATTTTTTCTTGATTTTTAGGCATGTTACAGAAATGCAACACACAGCCTAAATGTTTTTTTCTGATTATGTTTTGCTATTTTTTTATGCTCATCAGGTTCTAAATATAACAGAACTCATGCAACATAAATGCCTAAATTCTAGATTGCATAAATAGATTATTCTATTTTTCTTAGATTTTAGTCAATCAGTAAGATAATATACTTACTATTTTTTACTATTTTTGTTGTTTCTCTAATATCTGTTTGTGTTTTATAGTTTCATGGTATTGCACTTATGCAAGTTCATTGCACAAGAAAAGCATTAGGATGCTAATAGAAATTTATTTTTCCCTATGAAATATGAATATGAAAAATCTGTTTTTTTTCCTAACAAAAAAACTTTTACTGGTCCAAGTGCAATTTCCATTGAACATACTCTGTCATTACATTTACAAAACTATTATGTTGCTCCAAAGTAACACAGCACAGATTTCAATATATAGCATTGTGCAGAATTGAACAGAAACATACTCAGCAAAATAATTAATCAAGTAACTAACACCTTATTTGTTGCCAAGAGAGTATAGCATTGTATTGCATATTTGCAACATGTGGCATTTAATGTGTTGAAGTATCTATAACAGTAAGTATACAGTAGTTTCCCTTATCCATTCCAAAATCACCAGTAGATGCCTGAAAACCATGGATAGTACCAAATCCTATATATACTGTTATTTCATACACTAGAAATTTCCAATTAAGCATGATGGAATATTTTTTATGAGAAAGTAGGGATTAAAGAATTGAGAAGCAGCTTCAATTTGAGCTCAATGTTGTGATGCTGTTTCTGTAGCTCTTGACTAGTCCATTTTTACTCAATTTTGCTCAATTCGAACTTCACAGCCTTCAGGGATCTCAGTTGTTCTTATTCTTTTAGATCCAGAACTTACCTGACCAATCTTACTCTTATGCTTTCCCCTAGGTGTTTTTTCGACAAAATAGAGAGTCTTTTTAATTCTATGTCGATTAACCAAAAATTAATTGTATGTGTGGTACATTAGTTAGATCAGCAATAACACTTTCTAAATAACAAGCTCATTAGATCATTATTTCTGATTGGATAACAGAACATCATGTGGTCACTATGGAAAGATTTTTTAAAATTTGTTATAGAAGTGAACAATGCTGCTATCATTTTTTAAAGTTTAAATTTAGCGAGGTAGATTTAAAACACGTCATTTGCCAAAATATTTTAAAATGCAACTTAAGGGTAATTCTCTCATTGAGCACAAATGTCACGTGGTCGCCAATGTCACTGTAATGTAAGTGCAATTATCAATCCAAAATCAATAAAACATTCATTCTATCTATACTAATGCACTGGTGGAAATTAAAAATGTTACACCCACCCAGTATTGTTAAAGACATATCAAATTGGGGTAGAAGAATCTCTTTTTGAAGGGTAATGAATGATCAAAAATTAAATGAAGTACATACAATGGTATGGAAATTATGGAGACATTTGTTATGCAAAATTGTTATAGTGTTTACTTTATAAGTTGTGAACTGTGTTATGGAACATGACTTTTTGGTCCACAGGTTGTTGGTGACCAGTTATGCCATACTGACGAGTGAGAATTCAGTACACCCAAATGTCTGACTTTGAAAGATGTCAGATAATTGGCATTTCAATAATGGGAGCATCATATCATAAAATCGTCCAAAGTACTGCAATGTCAGTACAAAGAGTGGTCACAAGGTGGATGCAGGAAGGGTCCAGTACTCACAGACCTAGCACAGGTCCACGCAGAAGGACAACGCCACATGAAGACCACCATATTGTGCAGATGGCAGTTGCTGACAGATGGGTGATGGCAGCACAGATCCGAGCAGTAGTTACTGCAGAGTCATCCCACAGACAATTGTAAACCGATTGCTTGATGCTGGGCTGAGATCTCAGACCCCATGCAATGTGTTCCCTTAACCAGATTTCATCGCCAACAACGTCTAACGTGGTGTGCTGCTAGACGTAATTGGACACATGAATGGTGTACAGTTGTGTTTAGTGATGAATCCCAATTCTGTTTAGGCCAATGTGATAGTCAGCTACATGTCCGCCGGCGTGTTGGAGAAAGAGCCCACCCTGCTGTAATTTCAGAGTGTTACTCAGGTCCAACTCTTGGTGTCATGGTTTGGGAGGCAATCAGTTACGAGAGCAGGATCGAGTTGGTGGTTATTGAAGGCACAATGACCATCTGCCAGTATGTTGACAGGATGATCTATCCAGTAGTCATACCTTTCATGAACACCATCCAAAATGGTTTCTTCTGACAAGATAATGCCTGTCCTCTTGCTGCTGCCATCACAAGACAGGTCTTGCAAAGTGTCGCAATCATGGATTGGCCTGCCCGGTCTCCAAATTTATTCCCTGTAGAGCATGTCTGGGACGTCGTGGGTAAACGGATTATGTCTCATAGCCATCCAGAACACACTGTACAACAACTGACTGCACAAGTTGTGCAAGTATGGAAAGATATACCCCAACAAGACATTCAAGCACTTATTGATTCAATGCCTACAAGGATCCAAGAGTGTATCCATGCTCAAGGTGGGCATACCACTTACTGAAACATGTACCAAACAACAATAGAACTTTGCGTAATTCATTTCATTTTGTGTTCATTTCTTTTGGATATGCTCCTGTTCATGTTTAACAAGTTTTGCAAAATTTCCACCAATTCCATCTGGGTGTAACACTTTCAATTTCCACCAGTGTATTATAAAGAGGTAAAGTTTGTAAGTTTGGATGTAGGAGGTAATCTCCAAAACTACTCACCCGATTTCAAAAATTCTTTTACCAATATTTAGAATGGACCTTCAGGGTAGACATAAGCTGTATATTATTCCATTAAACATTCATATAAATGAAAAGATATCATCTGGGAAAGCATTATATTTTTGGTGTCAGTGGGTGGCGAGGGGTAAGATGCGTATGTGTACGAGAAAGGTAACCGCATGGTGCAATCATATGGTCGGCAAGATATGCAGTGCACATGAACTTGTGATATATAAAATTACATGCCCTGACTGATTCATCATCACCCAGAGCAACCACTGAACCTAAAGAAATGAAATTTGGTACAGTTAGGGTACATCATGAAAATGCACATTAAGAAGGGATTTTTCGAAATTCCCCCGCAGGGGGATGAGGAAGAGGATTAAGGCTTAACCTGAAGAATGTCTTCTACTGTACTATTTTAGATGCAATTTTTTGCTTTTATAGTAACAACTAATGTTGAGAATCTTAGTGAAGTATCGAGGGAGGGTTATTTCTGTCAAATTGCAAATTCCACGCAGGTGAAGCCACAGGTAACAGCTAGTAGCTAATATGTACTCTTCAAACCTGTTAACCAGAGTGGTTCCTTTTCTAGATTCACAAACATTTTCGATGCCCCTCCTGAGTTCTTTCTCAGGCTTTACAAAATTGGCCGTTACTGTTCAAAGAGGTTTGAAGAGTACATATATAATATTATATTCTGGTGCATAGAATGATTGTAGTAGCTAATACTTTTGCAAAATAAGTAGCCTATACTTTTCATCAGAACATAAAGGAATATACAGTCGACCCCCCTATAACACGGTAGATACGTTCAGTTTTATGAATCCAGCTTTTACGAGTCCAGCCAATCACAGCCTGGCACGTATGCAGTCTATGGACTATAATTTTATGGAAGAAACCTTTCAAACAGACAATCAATTCTAGACTAATTCGACTCAACATTTCCAAAATACATATAATTTTTTGGGAATAATCCATATAAACTATGTTATAAACAAAAAATTGTAGGATTACTTACCAAGTGTACAGCGTTTGACTACGCCGTTGCTTAAGCTTATTTTCAACGTGGAGATTGTAATCGAATGGCGCTTGTGTGCTTCCCGATAAATTATTTTTTTTGCGAAAAATTTGCTGAACTTTAGAGACAGCATTAATATAAATATAATTTCTACGGATATTAAATAATAAATGGTTTTTGGTAGGTCTGCTGCTCGTTCAAACTCAACGGTTTGTGCAATCCTGTCGCGACACGAGTCGGCGATGACGTTTTACCAAATTATAGGAGTTTTTTAGCATGTTTGTATGAATACTGTCACAATTTTTTCCCCGTGATATAGGAACCCGAACTATAGAAACCCATGTTATAAGGGGGGGGTCGACTGTAATCAAAATTTATCTGATCTGGACAAAAATTGCAGAAGTTATAAAGAATTCACACACATGCACACAGACAACTGCTTTTATATTAGTAATACATACAAATCTATGATAATATACCTAATTTATAAAAGCAAACAACTGCAGGATTATAAATCAGGATATATTATTGCTGCTACAAATAATTAAATACTATGTAATTTGGCCTAGAAGTAGGTGTTAGGTGCCATCTCTTATAAAATTTAAATTTAATAATTATAATTTAATAAGCAGATTACATAGTATTTAATTATTTATAGTAACAGTAAGAAAGCCTGATTTAATTATATTAAAGCCAAATGATTGCTGGATTATTTGGCTTTGATATGTTTATATTTGTACAGTATACCTAATTTATAAATTAAACATTATTAGTTATTGTTAATTTTTTAAATAGAATAATTATAAATTATATTTTCCAAAAAATATTTTATACACGTGCCAGGGATCTACTAAGCATTTTAACACTAAAATCATCAAAATCTAACATGGAAATTTTTTTTAAACTCAGACACGAAATCGCAAAAGTCATCCCAGAAGCCTGCACTCAACGCAGGCAATTATTTTAAAATTTTCTAATTTTTAGATAGTTAAGATAATTAATTTTGAAATTACATTAATTCTGAAAAACAGCAAAACTTTATTTTATTCAGAGAAAAAAAAACAAAAGAATTTCAAGAGAAGTTAAATAATTCCAATACTAAAAAATATTTTTATAAATAAAAACAAAAAAAAAACTTACCAGTAGCTTCTAACAAAGCTTCTAAACGTGCTTGTGTCTCAGGATCAACATTATGCAAATCTGGACTGTCACTTTCATCACCTTGCAAAAGAAATTTTGCTGTATCTAATACTGGTTCTTCATCTAAATCTCCTTGGTCTAAAATAAAAGACTCGACCTGTATGGAAAAAAAAATTTCAAATTTTAATATAAATATAGCTACATTGATTTTGAATATAAAAATATTAATTTTAATGTTTTAGATTATTTCACAAACTACAGGGAACAAATTAAGATTCCTTATCCAGTTAGCAAATGATGTTTGAAATTAAAATTAATTTGTAACATTTAGATATTGGAATTTAAAATTATTTAGTTATCAATAAATGATTCAAACATTATTACACTGCTGTTAACATATTTTTTTAAAAAATAATATAAAACTAAAATAAAATATAAAAATATGATAATTAATAAAAATTTAATAATAAGGAACATTAAATATTCTATTTTCATTTAAATAACCAACTTAAGTTAAAAAGTCCCAATATTCTGGTGAAGTATGCTAATTTTCTATTGATTTAAAAAAAAATCTTAATTAGCGGTTGTTTTTAATTTCACATTTCAACATTAATAAAAGAAATTTGCACTAATTTTTTGTTATTTTTAAATAATTGAGTCCTAAAGATTTTGTACATGACAAATATGTTTGAGCAAATGGAACAGAAAAAAAATTTATTTATAGCAACTGATTATACATTACAAACAAACTCAAGATACATGGTCATATTTTCAGCCATCTTTAATGGCCTTTTCAGGATAGAAGTAGAACAATAAAATTCTGAAAGGAATGGAACAAAATTATGAAACAAACTAAAGTTATATTTAAGCTATGGAATGTTATATGATATGATGGGTTTTTAAAGTACAGTCTAACATTCTTACATCATAAAACTAAGATGTTTCTATAACAGTCAATTAAAATTTTAAAAATAACATAACCTAAAATACAATAAAAGCTGAAACTACACTAAATAGTGAATGAGAACGAAATATCTCTTGTAATATGTAACTGTGTAATGTCTCTTGTCAAGATATTTCATAACATGATTCCCAAGAGAAAGGGCTTCCATGTCTGTTTCATGTACAAGTGCAACGGGTGCAGCATAAATAAACTTTATTAACATTTCTTAAAATAAGTCTTACAAAATATTTTTGTCGAAGAAATGAGCTAAAAACTGTACTGTGTTAAGTCAATAATAGAACGTTTACCTCACATTACTAAGCACTACTATATATTTTTTTTAAATTAAGAATTTCTTATCTATCCGCAGGAGCTAAGATATATGTTTCCAAAAGAAAGAGACTCTCCTCTTGCCTTTTCCAGGAGGAGATGACAGGGTTTTGGAGAAAAGCCTTTAAAAATCTCTCACAATTTCAATGTCAATATTACAGTCTATTCACAGTAGAGAAAAGTTTGTTTAATGGGGAGAGCAGTTAAAATTCAGACATGGTTTGAATAAAATTTAACCAACAAGAAAAACAAAAGAATATACTACCATTGTCAAATAGGAGGTTGTTGCCAAATGTTTCAAATGTACTAATTTATTAAAAATTGTTCCTTAATAACTTTTCTGAATTTTATAAAATTATTAATAATAGACTAAAAACAATTAAATTCTGAAATTAAAATTTTTTATTGCACAATCAAAATTATTGAAATTAAAAATTGAAAAATGATAAAATGTAATTTAAACTGTACAATTCTATTATGATTTTTTGCTCTTTTAATTTTTAGACTAGTTTGTAACATCTGTTCTCAAACTGAGGAAGTAAATGGTAATTTGTTGGGATTGGAATTAAAATTTTAAAAATTTTTATTGATATTAAATTATTAGGAATATTCACAAATTTATAATAATTTTACCTAACAGCACTTTTAAAGTTGCAAAATGTTTTAAAATTTAAATATTCTAATTGATATTATATTAGGAACTTTGTCTTTAATGAAATAACGAAGTGATATAATTTTTAAATTTAACATTTTCAGTATGTGAGGAATAACTGATTTACAAGTTACTGTAATTAACAATGTAATAGCACTAGAAAGCACTCCTCCTCTAATTTCTTCAAGAAAATTTCTAGGAAATAAGTAGGATTCCACAATCCCTCCTTGAAATTTACCATTTGATCTGCAAGCTGAAACACTGAAATGGAGTAAAGACTATGAACTATTTACTTTTCCAGTTGTTTCATTTAATAGCATTCCTCACAACACACAATAAGTCCAGTAAAAAATTTAATATAAACACAGAAAATATCTTTGACAAACATTTTCAATCAAAAATGGATCATCATTCAGGTCAATCAATGTTTTAAATTGAAATTCATTAAAAAACAAATTATAATTTTAAAAAGTCTGGAATAAAGGTTTTTAAAAATATAAAAATAAAATATTGTATAAAATAAAGTTTGATAACAAAATTCATGCTATTTAAAATAATAAAAGAAATAAACTAGCAACAAAAATCAATGTCTCTTCATATAGATGTAAAATGGAAAAATATCTTCATATAGACTGGAAAGTAACTTATACATTTTCGTGTAATTTTTCTGTAGTTACAAACAATAACAAAGTATCAATGTATTTTGTGTGTTCAAAAGATTCGTTATTTTCAAAATTTTATTAACATTCAAAAAAGCATTCCATTTTTTAAGTAGACTTGAAGATCTCGTCTTGATTGAAAACATTTGTTTTTATAGTTTAACAATACTAAAAATAAAAGAAGGTTCTAAGTGGATTGATGCTTTCATTAATAGATGTAAAATTACATAGTAACAATTAAACCATGATGATCTAATATACTTTTATGATAAAGTACTGTCAAGCATATGAGATGCTTTTCTTCATCTATGTAGTTTATGCACTCACTTTAAGATCAGCTCAGTATACTGTATTTCTAATGCTTCTAGAATTCTGAGATGGTCTGTGTGCAGGGATTGTCTGATGATATGCTGGACAATCTCAAATGCTGCTAAAATTTTCTGTGACATATATGGACAAGGATATAGTGTGTTTCCAGTTCTCTATCATAGTATTGATTAGGGTTTCTCAAACAGGATCTGGTTGTTTTTTAACCCGGGAAATCATGCAAATTTCTTAAAAGTTTACTTTTTTCTTATTTTGTGTTAAGGTTGAGGAAATTTTGCAAATAGAAAGTATAATTAACTCAAACTGTCAGAATACATTTGTATTTATTAATTTTTTAAATCTTTGCTCATTACGGCATGTCACAAATGGTCAATAAATAATCAATATGTAGCTTATTTGTGGCAGGACTAAAAATTCTTTACTTGTCAGAACCTGTAATATCTGGAATAATTGTGCTTATGCTGTCTTAATTTTTAACCATGCCGAGTAGCTTCAATAACTGCATAATGCCAGATTGTGCAAAATGAGCAAGGATACAAACGAGTATGAAGTCTGCAAGTATGAAGTTTTTCTTCATAAACCTGATTATTAAAGACAAACCAACTGCCCAATTATTGGGCTATAAGCTTGATGTTTCTATTAAAGCAGCAGAGGTAGACAAATCAAGAATACTAGAGAGCAAAAGAAGTACTACAATCTCGAAAACAAATTAGAAATCTTCCAAGCTACATGTGAAAAAAACACATAACATCTGTATTCTATTAAATGCATTAAACACGATTCCACTCTCATCAATTGAATCAGAAAGGGCATTCTCTGTAGCAGAACTTCTCATTACTAAAATGAGAATCAGATTGAATGATTGAAGATTGATCATCTTTGCTTTTTAAAATCTTATTACAAAAGTTTACAATAATATTTTCTATTGTTTTATTTAAAAAACAAAAATTACCTTTTAAGTTAGAAGTTTGATCTAAATTCATTTTTTTTTTGTTTGTTTTGTTGTATGCTGTTTCCAGCACACACTAATACATTTTTTCTATTTGTGAAAATTTCTACATAATTCAAAGGTAATTTTTAATATACAGGCATACCTCACCTTACGTCGGTAATTGGTTCCAGGAGAGGCGACATAAGTTGAATCTACTTGTCACTAGGCTAAACCATAAATTACCATTCCCAGTTCTGTATTTTATTTATTAATGCATTTTCATAATATATGGTTAATAAGGATCTATTTTAAGCTTACAAACAAATAAATTTTAGTTTTTAATATAGTACAGAAAAAAGTAATCTATATTTACATGTACCGTAAATACCCATGCATGTACTGTAAATACAGTACATACTTGTAAATGTATATACAGTAGAGCGTCGATTTTCCGAAAGTCAATCATCTGAAAGAATTCCAGTCGGCAAATTTAAATTTTCGCCAGTGCTGTGGCACTTCAATCTTTGGCTATGTCTTCGGCTACTCAAATATTTTACGTTTTTGATACTAAAGTAACATCTGAAGTATAATTTTTTATTGTTTTTATATTTTTCAATAAATTTATTTTGTTTGTACAAAATAAAAAAATAATTTTTAACGATACAATAGTCTTTGTTAGGCTTAACATCGACGAAAATTCAACGC